TTTCTCCATTTGTCTAATATTAGGAAATTAGGTTCATATTCAACAGTTTATGTCTCCCTGAAACATTTGGGATCTGTTCTTGTTACAAATAACAACGTGTTCAAGTACTTGTTTATTTCAGAGTGTCCTTTGTTTTCCACTCAGTCCTAGCATATCTCACACTGAGCCGTGCTTTGATGTTAGGCAAAGAAAGGCTCAGAGCTCTTTGGCACTATCTGGCAATATTTCACTTACGTGTTTAGAGAATAAAATGAATCTTGCAGTCAAGATTCGAGGTCAAGAAACCATTCACTTCCCACCACCCAAGTCAGGGACTTGGGGAGAAGGAAGGAGGAGTTCCTGGGGGAGGTTTTAGAGTCCGTGAGCCGGGTCTTTAAAACATCCCACGTATCTCTTTCCCCTATATCAGGGGTTAGCAAACTATAGCACATGGGCCAAATTCAGTCTTCCACCTGATTTTGTAATTAAAGTTTTATTGGAACATAGCTAGGCTCATTCATTTACATTTTGTTCTTGCTTTTGCAACTGCAAAGCTGAGTAGTTGTGAAAGAGAGCATATGACCACAAAGTCAAAAATATTCACAATCTGGCCAACCCTTGCCCTAGATAATTATTGAGAATCGTTGCACGGTAAGCCAACATTACTAAATAATGTGTTTTTTTCCTCAGGTATGTTTCTCAGGGGCACAATAGCTAGGTTTAGCTTTGGCTGTTAATGACAAGGCTGAACCGATACTCCACAGAATCAGGAACACAGGCTACTTCTACCTGTTGCTCCACTCCAGACAGCTTCCATCGCCAAGGTCACAGCATGGTCCAAAGGTGCTGCCAGAGTACCAGCCATCACATTCACAAATAAGTAGCAGGAAGGAAAAAGAATAGCCTCAACTAAACTTTTAAAGAAACTTCTAGAAACACCACTAAACACTTCTACTTATAAATTATGGGCCAAACTTGGCCAGCTAGCAGTAGTAGGCTAGGAATAGTGGAAGCTCCAAGTGAGACATTTAGCTGGGTAGAAAGTTGCTTAGCTAAAAAATCAGGGTTATATTATCACAAAAATGGGAAGGGGGTTGGATACTGAGAGAGAATTAGCAATCTCTGCCGAAGGAACCTTACTCAATTACCAAGCCCCTTATTAAGAGGGGCACACACCTTGGGCAGGCTACTTATTTGGCATAGCTCCAAAATGATAATCTTTAAATATTTATACAATATTTACTTAAGAGATGGTGAGATCAGTGCCAGCAAGAACTGTTTTTGGTTGAGTATTTCTAATAAAATCCAGTGATTTTTTTTTTTAATGAACTGCCTATTGCCAGATCTGCCCTGGGTTCACAGGACCCAGACACTACTCCACTCCCACTGCGAATCTCTGCAATTGCCATGCCCATTTACCTTGGTCACTACCAGTCAGAAAGAGTCAATATTTACCACTTACACTGAGCCACATCTGTCCTCACACCCAGCACAGCAGAAATCACTCTCAGCTTCCTAGGTTTTTAGCCTCTCTGTAACCCTATAGGTTCTGAGAATCCCCAACACAAAAGGCTACTCAATGGTGGGAGAGGCAGGGGTGGAGCTAAGGCCATATCAGAGAGCAAGAGACTGTGAAGTCAAAAATTCAGAACAGAATTCTGAATCCTTGATTCCAGAGAGTTTTCTGTAGGGTTGACCATCCCTAATCTGAAAATCCAAAATCTGAAATGCTCCAAAATCGAAACTTTCTGAGCACTGACATGACAACTTTGCTTTCTGATGTTTCAATGTACACAAACTTCGTTTCATGCACAAAACTATTAAGAATATTATATGAAATTATATTCAGGCTATTTGTATAAGGAGATATATGAAACATAAATAAATTTCATGTTTATACTTGGGTCCTATCCCCAGATATCTCATTATGTATATTCAAATATTCCAAAATCCAAAAAAATCCAAATCTGAAACACTTTTGGTCCCAAATATTTTGGATAAGGGATACTCAACTTGTATTAAAAAAGAATGGGAAAAAATTATAAGTCATATGCCTTTGGCATATCAGTTAGTACTTAGCAATCAGTCTTGTTCCAATATTTTTCCTTCTCTTCAGAAATAAATAACCAGACTTTTGATATTAATGTGGAAACTCTGGAAATTTCTCTCTCACATAAAAGTCCAGGGCTGAATTGGCACCCTATAGCGTCGAGGATCCAGGCTACCCCATATATTCTATTTTCCATAAAGTTAGGAGATAGATATCATCTGTAAGCTCCAAAATATATTTAAAGACTGCCAACAGCAGCTGAAATCAAGTAGAAGCCAAATGGGAGAAAGTGAAGAAAAGAAATACAGAGTGGCATGTTTCAGGGAACTCCAACAAAAATACGTTTTTATTCAGAGCTAAGGGTTACAAGTGCAAAGTCCCTATCAAGTGTTGATACTGGGGGAAGCAAAGGTAAAATTTTCTGTTTCTAACAAGCTTAGATTTGGGGTGGGAGGCAGACCTATACAAAGAATCAAAGAGATGAATCATATTCAAAGAAAGAGTTGGTTTCCTGGCAGTGGAGAAAAAGCCTCAAGGGTGTGAAAAGCCTGAATGACTGCCCCAGCCCCTCGCTGCTGTGCCAACCCCAGACCTCACCCCCAATCTCCTGCAAGCCGGTTCGGGAAACCCAACCCATTCAAATATGAGAGACAAAAAGGCAATCATATGTACACCATTGATAGAGCTGTTAAAAACGAGTTAAGGGAAAAAAAATGAGGAAAATGGCAGAAAAACTTATAAACAGAAAAGTCACAGAAAAATGTTGCCACTGGAGCATATGAAATTTCTGGCTAAATATTTTACAATGAATTTTAAAAACTAAGTGAAGCAATTTCTCTACGAAGGAAGTTCACGAAGCAGAAATAACAGAAGAGACGGCAAGGAGACAGAAGGAGCTAAAATGCGAGCTTGCGGAGCTCAGAAAAGGGTGAAAAACAAAGTAACTGCAGATGGAGACGGAACGTGCACCAGGGAGAAGAAAGAGCAGAAAACACAGTAAGGGACAGAGAAGACAACAAGAGCAGAGCATACCAACTGAAGTGGAAACAAAGAGTTTTAAAATATTAGAGAGAAAAACAATAGGTACAGAAGTCAGACAAAGGAGAGCCTACTCATGCATAACTGGGATCCCTGAAGAACGAAACAGAACAGAACGATGGGTCAGAACAAATCCCTAAAGACATAATTCAAGAAAACTTTCCTAAAATAAAAGCAGTCAAATCTGACCTGTGAGAGACAACAATATATACCAGGGAGAACAGGTTAACACGAGGTGGGTCCTGATAAGGTTATTAAACTTTAAAGGTAAAGAGGCCGGATGCCAGGCTCACATCTGTAATCCTAGCACTCTGGGAGACCAAGGTGGGAGGATTGTTTGAGCTCAAGATTTTGAGATCAGCCTGAGCAAGAGTGAGACCCCATCTCTACTAAAAAAAAAAAAAACAGAAAAATTAGCTGGGCATGGTGGCACATGCCTGTAGTCCCAGCTACTCTGGAGGCGGAGGCAGGAGGATCGCTTGAGCCCAGAAGTTTGAGGTTGCTGTGAGCTAGGATGATGCCACTGCACTCTACACAGGGCAACAAAGCGAGACTCTGTCTCAAAAAAAGAAAAAAGATAAAGAGAGAATCCTTTAGGACAACAAGCAAAAAGATCAAGCAAGCCTGGCATCAGATTTCTTTATACCAAGTTAAACTCCAGAGGATTTGGAGCCACACTAAGATCCTCAATAAAAGAAAGAGTAAGCCACATCCAACCTAGTTGCCATTCGAATATAAACAGATAAATAGTTTTGGACATGCTCTGGGAATATTGCTTCCACCAGTCTTTGAGCATTCTCCTTCTAGAGAATGAACTTCAGTCATCCAGATGACTGGGGAAACTGAGGCAAAAGAACTGGCAGTGAGCACTGAACATCTTTATCGAAAGAAGAAAGACTTTAAAAAATAAAGAAGGAAAATGGTGGAGATTTGAATGTGGAAGCCACATGCCCTGACAACCAGAAGGGGAAGGGAGAATGAAGGTGTGAGTTATACAAGGTTTGGTGACTGCACCTTCTCTAACAGCTGGAAGTCAAAGGAGACCATTTATAAGTGACAAGTCAGAAATATAAATTAGATCATGTCACTCATCTCTCTGCTCCTAACCTTCTGTAGCTCCCAACTGCAGTGTGCATAAAATTCCAAGTCTCAGAATGCAAGTTCTGGCCTTGCCTCAGCCTGTAAACACACTTCTACCCAACAATCATCACTTCACACCCCTCCCCCTGGTTCCTTGAGCCACCGTGTTCTTGCTGTCTCCCCCGGCACTGCCTGTGCTCTCTGGGATGCTCCTTGCCCTTCCTCCTCACCCATCCCACTTCTGCTGTCAGCTTACACGGCGCCAAGCGGCCTGCTCTGACTCTGCAACTGAAGTCAGTTCTTTAATTACACCCAATGCATTTTTCCCTCATAATCCTCACTACAAACTTGTGTAATTATGTATTTAATATCTGCCTTTCCCACAAGACTGGAAACTCCAAGAAAGCAGAGAGCTAAGTCCATTTGGAACATACTTAATTCTAGGTCCCAATAATATAGGTCTTGCCGTGTGGTAAGTGCTTAATAAATATACACTGAGAGACGAACACAACAGTGTTTATTCCACGAACCACTCTACCTCACCTCCGCCGCACCTGGAACATCATACGATACGGTAAGAGAGCACTTCGACAAACAATACTGGAAAACTTCAAGATCTTTAAAACATTCGTTTCATATACATTCTTTACTAAGGCAGGAAAGATTGAAAATGCATTTTATTAATAGAAAGATTTTTAGAGAGGACGGATAAAAAAGTTTTCGATAAGCTACACATTCACTACAAATTCAGAAGACATTTTGTCTCAGACGGATTGGGGTTCAGCAAAATTTCATCATATGCTTCCATATGACATTTGTCACACGGAGACAGGAAAGGATAAAATTGGAAAACTTTTCACTTACTTTGGATGTTCAAACTTGTCTATAAGATCAACCTTTTCCACCAGGTCTCCTCCTATTGTCCGGACTAAGTCGTAGAAGTCATTCTCTGCATAATTCTCAGAGGGCAGCCAGAATGAAATGTCATTTATCACAGCAGGATATTTACTAAGAGGCTAACAAAACAAGAGAAGAAAAGATAGATGGACTTGTTAGTTGAATGAGAATGTTTAAATTTTTCATAGGAAGTTTCACTTGGCTAATTAGGAAATGTTGATAAAATATTATTTTAGCATTTGAATTTTCAGGAACAAAATGAACTTAAAAGATAAATCAATATTCAAAATTAGCAAATTCCATAATGAATATAACAGATTCTTTCCACTTTCAGTGTAACATTACCATATAGTAAATTTTATCACCATTAGTGGTCAATTTAGTGTAAAGCGACTTGAATATATATTTCAATTTTTTCCATCTGAACACTAGAACAGTTCAAATTTAATTAACATGCAATTCATTAACTTCTTGTGATACTTTCAGGAAGCCATTTTAGTAGAGAAATAAGTAAGAGCCTATCAAATTTGATATTTCAACTAGTAATGCCATTATTTGTTAGTATTTCTAATTATTAAGTAAATGACTGATAAGCAGTCATTTAGGGAGTTATTTTTCAAGTTATGACTCTAAGAATGTGATAAACACAAATGTAGTCACTTCTCCCACTTTATTCCATTTTTCCAGTTTATTAGCTCAGTGATTCACCATTATATTGGACAGACATTTAAAATTAGATATGTTTAGAAGTTCCTGCATTTGTTTATGGTTTTCACATATATATAATATATATAAATAAATCTCTCCATATATATACATATATACACACACAAATATATATATGTATGTTTTGATCTATAAGTTACTGCCACAAAAAAAATGTTTCATTATATAACTGTGAAATCCTAAGGGGATACTAATAAAGCTATAAATTTTTTAGAAGGGCAAATTTACAAATTGATTTATGCCAAGCCTGATATCACTATAAACCTTTGGTAAACCATTGATCAGAAAAAGTATAAAACTTTTAAATGGCAAAATCTCTGAAGAACTAAATACTCAAATATAAATGATTATTCAACTTGAAATATCAATAAAGTTGTCAAACAAATACATCAGCTTAGAGCACACACTTCAAACAAACACGATAAAGCTACCATCTAGGTGCTCTTGACCAAATATCTCAGCTCCTGAAAAACATCCTATGTTTTCTCTCCTACAGCAAAGTCACAATGCCGTGATAAATAACCCACGGGTTAATGTAACAACAGAAGATGATAGAAGTTTGGTGGTTATACAAGTTGCTCTTCCTTTTGTCCCCTAACGAACACAGAAATTTAGGGAGATTAGATAAGAGACTGGGATTGCCAAGAATTAGCATGAAATCCCCTCTTCGATTAATCCAAGCTGACGTACCACACTTTCTGAGCTCTGATGAGGCAAGGTGACAGAGAAACGGGAGAAGGTGCCCTAACCAAGCCTCTGTGTCTGCAGTTCATGGACAACAGTCCGCATAATAATAATGCAGTCAGCCAGAAGACATCCCCCCAAGACGTTTTCAAAATATACATTATAATAAGTACATTTTTAAAAGCCATGGAGTTAAAAAGAAAAACCCAGACAATGTATTATATTGCAAATCTACTTCAGGCTAACAAATGTAATAAGTTTAAAGTCATGGCTTAACTAAAGAGAGCACTTACTAACTGGTTAGGTATCAGATCTGGGGTACCTACTAGTGGCCCCTGCTTTCTTGAGTGGGAGAAATATAATTTTGTTTTGAAAAAATAACTACAGAGCCACTGTTACTGAGATGCAAGATTTCCAGTGCTTAACCAGTGGTGGTGTTCAAATCCATCCAGTGGCTTCCCAGTGCTCCTAGGATAAAGCCCCCAATTCCTAAAAGCTTCTACCTCTTTCCGATGTTCTCCCAGCTCAGGTCAGCGCAGCTTACAGGATGTCTTGAACACACTAAGCTACTCCTTCCACATGCCATTTTCCGCCCTCCTTACCCCAGTTCTGGCCTCAGCCACCATGTCACTTCATCTTCCCAGGCTCCGTCAGTCACTTGTTGCGGCACCTACCGTTCTCTTGCATAGTACTCTTCATCATCGTCATTGTTTGTGTAAACTACTTTATGTCTGTCTAGCCTGGATGTTACGATATTTGATGGTAAGGTGTGTATCTTTTTTCACCTCTGGACTCTCTGATCTCACACAGCACAGTCCCTGTCACATTGCAGGTGTTCAGTAGGGGCACATTATGGCGCTGCCTTGTGTGAGCAATGACTAGATTAGAGTCAAACAATTCAGCTGTTTTATCTCCTCTCAGCAGATCGGCTAATGAGCACATCAGGTAAGTAAGACACAGAGACCTTCTCCCATCCCTGGTTTATGTAGAGTTTAGCAACCATGTGGGATGACAAAGAGGCAAAGAAACTTGATAATCCACAATTGTAAAATCATGGAATTTTAGAATTGGAAGGGACCTTAAATTATATCTAAATACTATTTGTGTTTCATTTCTTGTCTGGATTTAAACAGACGAATGTCTGCTTTATTAGTTTTATCAGATAACCACATACAGTCGTTCTTCAGTATCTGAGGGGGATTGGTTCTAGGACTCCAGAGGGTACCAAGATCCTCAGATGCTCAAGTCCCTTACACAGTATTTGCATATAATCCAGGCACATCTTCCTGTGTACTTTAAATCGTCCCAAGATTACTCATAATACCTAACACAATGTAAAGGCTGTGTAAATCGTTGTTACGTGGTATTTAAAATTTTTATTATTTTTTATTGTTGTGTTGTTATCTTTTTCCCCAATATTTCTGATCCACAGTTAGTTGAATCTGCAGATGTGGAACCCATGGATACAGAAGATACAGAGGGCTGACTGTATTGATTAGTTCTTTTGTTGATCCTCTCAATTTTTGTTTTATGGGTTTTTTTTTTAATTGAAAAGGGCTAGAGCTTAAATTGCATATGAGAAAATAAAAGAAAAGAGCATCAAAACTACAGATGGAGACTTTAAAAGTCACAAGTGAAAATTATGAACCATTTAATAACAATGAATTTGAAAACTTGGATTAAATGGATATTTCATTCAAACCAGAAAACTTAAACTGATGACTATATACCAAATTGAATTACCAGTCATATTTCCTTTCAACAAAAATATTAGACCAACAGTTCACAGCATAACTTTATGAAATGTTTAAGGTAAAGGTAGTCCCTTTTATATGTAAATTGTTTCATGAAACAGAAAAGGAGAGAAACTCAACTAATTTTATAAGACTACTCTAAACTTGAAGTCAGAATTGGACAAGCACAGTACAATTCATGACAAAATTTTAGGCCAATTTCACCTTACAATCTACATTAAAAAAACCTAAACATAACTTTAGCAAACACAAATCAATAGTATATTAACATAATATTGCAAAATGATCAAGTAGATGTTATTCCGGAATTATGGTAATGATTTGAAACCAAAAAATAACCTAGTAATCAACATATAAAGAAAAAAACCCTGTGATTATTTCATAGGGGGGAAGTATTGATAAATGTATTACTAATTATTTTTAAAAATCTTGGCAAACTAGAAATAGAAGGCAACGTCCTTAACCTAACTAGGTATTTATCAAAAACCTACAGCAAACATTATACTTACTGCTAATATTTCAGGAGTACTCAAATTAAAGTCAAGAGTAAGATAAGGATATCTGCTATCACCAATGCTCTGGCACATTACAGATTTAATAAATACGGTATATAAGTAAAAGGTATGAACTAAATGAATAGGAACACAATATGCAAAAATTTGT